GAAGACCGAGACAGAGAAGACCGAGACAGAGAAGACCGAGACAGAGACAGAGAAGACAGAGACAGAGACAGACAGAGATAGAGATAGAGACAGAGACAGATCCCGACAGAGAGCGAGACGGAGACAGAGACAGAGAGAGGGGAGGGAGAGAGGAGAGAGAGAGGTGGCAGGAAATGTGCAAGACGGCTCTCCCGACTTCGGCGTATACTAGGTATACGCCCGGGCGGTCAGCCCCCTTCTCGAGAAGGATGCTCCCGGGACGGTCAGCACCCTTCTCGAGAAGGATGCTACCGGGACGCCCGAAGTCCCGGTCCCCGTCTTGCACAGGGAGGGGTTGTTCGGCCCCCCACCGACTGAAGATGTAGACGGTGCGCACCTGGCGAGAACGAATTCACGGACATTGCACTCTGCACGCATCGCTCACAGTTTCACAGTTCCTTACAGTCTCACCGCTCTTGCAGCGCTCGCTGACCGGTCTTTTTTTTCTGCTACGGCCTGGTTGTTGTCATGAAGTTGACCGCGTGAGCGATGCTCTGGCGGAGGCTAGAGCGAAGGCGCAAACGAACCAAGGATCTGTGCGGTTGGACACACGCGGCGTCGAAGGTTCGACCGCTTCTTTGGCTCTGTTTCGACCGCCTCTCCGTCGGAGTTTGCAATGCAACCCTGACAAAGTCATGTGCTGGCAGATGGTCCAACCGAACCTTTGGCTCCACAGGCCCACGAAAACGAAGTCATGGCCGAGGCCGTTCGGGAGCATACAGTTGAAACCCTGCTATAGTACAACGCATTTCTGGGCTTTTGACTCTGGAATTTCTATGACGTGGGCGGATTAGGCTTTTGCCGGGCATGAGTGATGCTCTTGCGGACTTGGCTGCAGGGGCTGCGCGATGCGTTGGCCCTCGTATAGGGGGTGAAATGGCGCTGCCCGGTAGTTCTGTGCACCAGGTTTTTAATCATGGAATTTCTATTCGGTGGGCGGACTAAGGTTTTGCCGGGCATGAGTGAAGCTCTTGCGGACTTGGCTGCAGGGGCTGCGCGATGCGCTGGCTCGGATGAAATGGTGCTGCCCAGGGTGGTTCTGTGCATCAGGTTTTGGACAATGGAATTTCTATTAGGTGGGCGGACTATGGTTTTACCGGGCAGGAGCGATGCTCTGGCCCTCGGGTAGGAGATAAAATGGTGCTGATGCTCTGGCGGACTTGGCTGCAGCGGCTGCGCGATGCGCTGGCTAGGATGAAATGGCGCTGCCCGGGGTGGTTCTGTGCATCAGGTTTTTAAGCATGGAATTTCTATTAGGTGGGCGGACTATGGTTTTGCCGGGCATGAGCGATGCTCTGGCGGCTGCGCGATGCGCTGGCGAGGATGAAATGGTGCGGCCCAGGGTGGTTCTGTGCATCAGGTTGTGGACAATGGAATTTCTATTAAGTGGGCGGACTATGGTTTTGCCGGGCATGAGCGCATGCTGCTTGCATGGCATAGGCGTCTACACTTTTCGACGCCGTTTCCTTGGCACGCCATGCTGGTGCTTGTCGCGGCACTCTGCACAGATCCAATGAGCTAAAACGTCAACATGGTAGCGACTTGCTTTTGGCCGTGGCCAACCGCACTGGTCGCACGGGGGGTAGTTTCGCAGCGATTGGCACTCGGCACACGTCCAAGTTGGTAGAACTTTGACGCGG